GGCTGGTAGGCGCCATGACTCCTAGTGCCAACATTTCTTAGATATTTAAGTTTCAGAATAAGTGCAAGATTTACCTGCAAAACAAATTAAAAAGAAAATTGAAGAAGGAACTATTCATTTGCTAATGATTCTAAATTATTGATTGGTACCTTCGGTGGCCGAATGACACCTGACGACTGACTTTCTCCAAACTCAAACTACAAGCAACAGATTAGAATCAATAACCCACTTCAACATACGGTTACATGATTATATCCACAGTTTACAGTCCCTTTACCTTAGAGCTTTCTTCAATTATTTTGAACAAATTATCACGGAAACATGTGAAACACGTACCACTTGAGTCATCTATGTCTGCCTGTCAGAGTTAGACAATCAACTATATAATTTGCTTAAAAATAGTCAGATAAAAGTTAAAACAGCAAGTCATATTTCGTCACGCCCTTTCACCAACATTGTGAAAATCATGAGAAGTGACTAAGAACAACATATATCACAATACTGCATGGCTACATGGGCAGAAGAATGCATAAAGGCGCTAGCTCTTCATGATTTAACTTCATATGAAGCAGAGCAGCCGTCCAAGCTCTAGCCAGCCAGAAATTGTGAATGAATTTGAACTGGAAGTAACTATCTTAGAAAAATCATGTGTAGGACAACAGCTTGCAATTAAGAAAGTGAAAAAGAAATGAATCTAGAGTATCAACTAGATTTTAGAAATCATACCTCTTTACAGTTATCTTTCTTGCGTATTACTGAACCTGAGTAACCATTTGCTTTCAGCTCGGGTTTGAAGTAGTTCTCCAAAAGATCTCTTGGTACCTGTTCAATCATTAAGGAAAATGGGTGACATTAAACAGATATTCCACAAAACTCCACCAAGACCATTATTCAAATAACATAATCCAGAAAAAAGAACATATCTAGCAAAAATAAAAATTCACCTCTTGAAGACAAATGATATCTGCTTTAAATGCAATGATCTCTTTGAGCAATTCTTCGCGGAGCCATTCAATGGTGCAATCCAAATAGTTATTTTTGACAAGTAAATGAGAATGAATGTTATATGACAGCACACTAAATGTTTCAGATGCATCATCAGAAGATCGAACATTCGGATTGATGTTCTGAGATGGCTTACGTTTTATTAAACGAATCATACTACCATTATACGTGTCATTAAATTCCTCATGTGACGGAAGCCCGCTCGTTGGAGAGTCCATTGCATATATATGATATATCCAGCTTCAAACGGAAATCCTTATCTTTTGCTTTCCTTTACCAGCGCATCTGTGATGTTAGATTTCTGAAATTTTTAAATGTTTCTGTAGCACTAGCACACGATAACGAAACAATTGTTATTTGGCAACTTGTTATTATCAAGAAGTAATAGCCTTTTCCACGCAAGAAATTTCGGTGTAATGACAACCAATGATCATATTATCCTTCCCAGCCTTTCTTTCAGCGTGATGAAGAACTGAAAAACTTATGCCAAAAATTTGTAAGATATCAAAAGAAACGAACCACTTGAAACGGAGGTAATGTGGTGGACTGACGTCTATCGAAATCTTCTACTGGCGGTTTGACGGTAACTCTTGGAGGACAAATTTTGTAGCCGACTGCTGAAGCAAGAGAACACGAACTCACTTCCAGTTTGTGCTTAATCTTCTATTTAGATTCTTAATCAAGACTCAAGAACCTTTACATGTAGAGTCAAGAAAACGAGTTAAGAGTTTTGTTGACTACAGAAAGAAAATGAATCAATGACGGCACATGGATAGATTCTTGGAGGGTTTCTTGTTTTTCTTTTAAGTTTCTGGATTTCAAAGGTAAGCTTGGGATTGTTGAGGGAAATGGAAATGGAGGCTGGGATTATATAAGTAGTGAAGTTTGTTCTCAAGTGGTACGGAAATCTTGTTAGTTACATAACCGCCATTATGTATGAAATCTTTTTCCAAAAATAATTAAGAATTGAGATGGAGAATAAAATACCGTACTATTCATAGTTTGTTGGTTCTCAAGTCATTTGGTTGCCATTTGGCATGAGCCATAACGAACGGTGATGATTTGCAAATGAACCTCCTTTGGTCCCACACATGACACGTCAGCTGATCAGTACAGGTTCCAAAGGGATTAAAAAGCCTTTCATTTTTCCCTCGCTTATTTTCACTTCCTCAAAATTCAAAAAGCAGAAACGCACAAGAGAGATAGGGGCAGAGATGGAGAAGAAAGACGAAAGTGTGAGATCACAGGTTGCAATTCGGTGTGCCAAAGCCGCGATTCTGCTTTCTTCGTTGTCCAATCGCCATTCAAAAGCTACAATCAACGACGGAGACGAGGAGAAGGAGATGTTGAAGAGAGATATGGAAGATCTGAAGGTGGAAATGGTTAGGGAGCGAATGAAGAGTAAGAAAATCAAGCTTTGCGGCTTAGTTGAGGTGGCTCTTCAGGTATCGGTCGTGTTGTTTGTCTCTAGTTTCTTTTTAATGCTCGCATTCGAGCCGAATTGAAAAAAGTGTGATGGTTAAGATGAGGATGAGCTATTAACATCAATCTCATCCAACTCTGTAGTTCGATCTAGTACTTGATTATTGTATTTGGTAGGGTTTGATTTTTCATATCTGTTTCAAATTTCAGTAAGAATGATAAATGATTCCTTTTCTGCTCTCTCTATATGACCTAAATGATTGATTCTCGTGAGGATTCTTTCTTTGTATACCCTTCTCTGAACTTATATATTTCTTCACCATTCTCGTCTTCTGATAATTGTTTCAGTACAATAATTTTTTTTTTTTTTTTTTTTTTTGCTGGTTTGAATTTGAGAGGTAAAGGAGCTTACGATTCTTGAGGCTAATTACATAAGTTTGTTGTGTTAATTAACTTTATTTTGTAGTATAGATACCTTGATATTTATCTAACCTTGTACCAAATCTTTATTGTTCAGTAAAATATAAATTGATTTTTTTTTTTTTTAATTAAGATATAAGAATTAACAGCAAAATGACAGAAATTGGACAAAGCAAAAATATTAACAAACCATGCCCAATAGTCAACTATGACTTTTAGTTATATTACTCAAAAGGTTTTGAGTTTTAGAGATAAGTGGTTTCGGATACCTTGCATTTTTCAAGAGAATTGTAACTGGAACTGCATAGTACAGGTTTCAAAAAAAGGAATCGAAATCTGTTGGTTTCAATTCTTAAATTCAAGGAATCGGAACCTGAAATATAGTTTTAAATTCCTTATCTAGGTATCTAAAAAATGACAAAAATATCTTAAAAGTTTATAAATACAACCCTAACAAATTAAGAAAACCCACATTTAGTAGTTTTCAACTTTTGATTACTCATTCATTTGTGTCTAATGTGATTTAAAATCTTCTAATCTCTAGGCAACACTTGAATTCAATCAGTTTATCACAATTCACATAAAATTTCTCAATCAAAGCCAAAACACAGACAGGTTCCAAGCAGGGTACCCACTTCCGGTTCTTTTCTTTGGTTTTGATTCCGAAACCTGTAGGAACCAGAACTAGAACTGCATAGTGTCGATTCCAATAAAATGGAACCGAAACCTACCTGCACAGTGTCGGTTTGGGGTAGGTTCTGCTTCTGGTTCTACCTGCTACTTGTGCTCACCCCTATTGAGTTTGATTCACTTGAGTTGCTAATAGAGATGACCACTTATAGGATTTATCCGTTTGTCAACTTTAGGGTTCTGAGAGATTAGTTAAGATGCGCACAACAAGTCCGGACACCCTCGATCACAAAAAAAAAAATAATAATAATAATAATTATATATATATATATATTAAAGCAATTTGACTGATAAATTTGATTTATTATTTGACACTTGACAATTTGCTTGCCACTTGGCTTACCTGATTTGGTAATGGACGGTGATGATGGGCATCATACCTCTGGTATTATTCATTATTTTGATGTAATAAAATTTAAATTATTCCATTTTATCTGGTTGATAGTGGTAGGCCAAACATTTTTATGTAGTTAATTTAAATTTTAAACACAGTAAATTATAAACTTTAGTGTTTATATATTTAAATTCTCACTTTTTTTTTTTTCATAATACTTCCATCTTCACAGAATTTTGGAGGAGTTTCTACTTTCGCACAATTTTCATGAGTTATATATTAGAAATTATTTTTTGTGTTATATAACACAAATTTCAACATTAATTTGATAAACCTATTCTGTATAAAACTTCTGTCATGAACTTATCTTAGGGTTTCTCCATGTACTTCTATGGTTTACTTTCCATTTTCTTATTATTCCATATACAAAACTTTTATACTAGAATGTTAGAGGAAATTAAATAATTTGTTTTAGTGAAGGAAAATCAAGGAAACGTCCATGATGCCAATAATAAACTATATCAAGTTTTGGAGTGAATATATGTATTGAACTAGTTTTACCGCTTAACGGCAATCTCTCTAACTTGGTGGTTAGAGTCTTGTCAAATCTTTAGTCATTAGGTTCAATCCTTTTCTTAATCATTTTGTTTTCGTTTGGTTCATTATTTTAATGGTTTTTAAAATAGTATTTTAAAAAAAGTAACGTTAGATTATCTTTACGAGAAAGATAATTATTAATATTTTGAAAGTTGAATAAAGTATAATTGAATTTTAAGAATATTAAAATAAATATATTTTTAGGTTTTTAGGGTAGTAGAATAAAATAGAGTAATAATAGTGAACCAAAAAACCATCTGTTTGAAAACCCGACCCAGTAATTATTAAAAAATAAAAATAATACTCACAAGATGATGCCAGGTAATCCCAGGCACCCGCGTGGCCAGGGCGGGTAATTGTGCCCTCCCTACCCCCAATTTATTAGAAACTACATAATCTAACTTCCCTGTGAAAACCATGCCCCAACCTAGTGATTAATACAATCTCCTAGTGATCTATACAATCTCGGATAGTTAAGTAGAGCAAACAATTAAGAGATACTGAATTGTCATGGTTTTGATTAAGCTGAATAAGTCTCAAAAATGAGGTAACGAACCCTACGACTATAACGAGCATTTACCATAGAGTGATGTGAAATCATAATGCGGAAGCAATTGGACTAATATTTTTACAGTCATGATATATTCTACTTTCTTAATGGGTGCTTAAGCTCTATTCTCACAATCCATGCTCCTTTATTTACAAAGGAGGTTAATGCCCAAGTTCAGCAATGACCAAATGGTGGGCTGCAAATCAGCATACCGTAAAGCCTCTTGCAAGCTTAGAACAATCCCAGGAAGCAGTCATAAGATGCATATTCTTGAGAAGCTGCATGTCCGCTATCAGCAAGCTGTCAAAAAAACCAGAAAGAAAACAAGAAAGTTGCTTTTCCGGTACTCGGTTTGTCTTTGTATTAGTGAATGCTATATTATCAGACCAGAATTTTATTTGCAGGTTCAGCCATTTGGTAAGTAACTACTAACTACACGGCCTACCCAAGAGTATACAGAAAAATATTTGAAACAAGGAACAATCCAGCATGTGCTCACTTAATAAAGCTCCTAATGGTTTGAAATTTTTTTGGTTGTATGGATTTTATTTCCTCTTCGGCAGGCCTTCCCAAGACTAGGTCCTTGATCACTGACTACTCTTAGCACATGTGCTCACTCAATAATGCTCCTAAAAGGTTTGAAAAGCCTATAACTCCTCAAGCAGAAAGTATCTGGTCTTAGAAAAGCAACAAAAATATAGCTAATAATGATGGAAAAACAACACTTTAGCCCAGAAGTCCATGATTAAAGTGATTAATTGAATTTACCTCTAATCAAATGCATAGGGGTCATCCGCATATGGATTTAGAGACCCTTCTGAAAACAAATCGCCTATGTTTGAAGGATGTGGATTAGCCCCTCCCTTGATTCCCGAAGGATGTGGATTAGCCCCTCCCTTGATTCCCGAAGGATGTGGATTAGCTCCTCCCTTGATTCCCTGCATAAGAAATTTAAGTACATAATGAACTTCAAATGAGCAGAATTGAGAAAAAAGCTTGTGATTCCTCGAGTATCTAGAAATAATAAATCACCACCATATTAATTAGTTGATCCAAACTTTAAGTTAACTGTTTGCAATTCTTTTTCAAAAGAGATTCTAGTTTACCATTTTCTTCTAACAAATTTACTATATATGAGAAGTACTCATATTATGACTAACGCTACACATCTCAAGTTTATCTCAACTGTTGTACCTCAAATAATGTGACATTGACTTAGTGCTGCCATACAATAATCATATTAACATTAATTCACATGGAAATCATAAATTACAGTCACATCACTCGGGATGCAAAAGTTGAGATACAAACTTCTGTTTATCATTTTGGATGAGTCAGCATTATGCAAAACAGAGCAAATTTGCGTACATAATCAACTAACAATTCATGCAGATATTAGTAGTTGTAAGTATGAGATTCTTGTAATCAGTTGCAGACCCAATCATGAATGAAGTTAGATTTTGGTCCCACTACACATTCTAAGGCCCTGAAAGAGACTCAAACAAGAAAAGGAACCAAGAATGGAACTTACTTTGCAATTATAGTACTATCAACTTCCATAAACTCGAGTATTGGAAACGAGAACAATGAAAATTTGGACAAGAGTTTGTTTAAGTATCAGATTAAACCTCAAATGATTCGCCTAGTTCTCTAGCATCAATGTTCAACCAAAAGCATAAATAGTTCCGAGCATCATGCTTAAGGGGGAAAAGTTCCCAGACATTTTTAAGGTAAGAATATATAACGAATCCCTAATAAACAGATTAAAAAACGAAATTGAATCCAGAAAAGATGCTTTAGCTTGTGGTTACCTTGACAATACTTCTTGGGGTATGGGCTTTTGGTGTGTTCCTCTTCTTATGTTTCCTTGGATCCTGATGCAATACATGCATATAAATCATAAATTTAAGGAAACTGACGCAAAAGAGACCATTCTATCTCATATAAAAGCACTGCTTTTATACAAATGAACGCTTTAAGGGACTCTGTGATGACAAGGCAAAACCTCAAACATGACGGTACTTTTTCTTCGTTTAGTGATTGTTCTTCCATTAGTAGTTTCAACTTCATATTCATGACGAGTAACCTGCCATGCCACCATAAGGTAAGTCGAAATTGTTTTTTTCTTTTTTTGTCCCTTTTTTTTTGGGAAGGGGGGAGGGGGGTATAGAATTATAATTGCTCAGAATTAAAACATATATGACATAAATGTTTTACTCGCTCAGAAAAAAAGAAATGAACAGAAGTAATTACCTTCTTATGATGCTTTGGCATGCCCATAATGCTTCCGGTGTTTACGTTTTCTAACAATTTTGACACTGGTGTTTGTGTCCCATCCAAGAAAGGCGAATCCTATAAACAATATTGAAAGACAAACTTAAGTGGCTGCTGTAACTTGGCAGACTGAATATTGAAAGGGAATCAAAGTGATCAATAGCTCTTGTTACCTTCTCTTCATTGGCTGCTCGTGAGGCAGTACGCCGAGTTATTCTTTGATCAACACCAGTATCTCTCATCTTGATTGATGAAATGGAGTAATCCTACCATTAAACAAAGGCACCAAGCAGATCATGTGTTAGACAGTTCCATCATAATATTCATGCCTCATTCCGCTATGTAAAGCTACAACAAAAAGTTCCACAAGTTCAAGAAGCTCAAAGCAAACTCTGTATGTTATGCTTTCCAATCTACCTTATAACTTATTACTGTGTTGCATTTTATTTGCATATAATTAAAACAGATTTTCCCACCTTAACACAAGTGAAAAATAAATATGTATATCAAAGTATATACAGTCATATGTCTAGATAAAGAACATCATAAGAGATAGAAATAAAAAATACTGATGGCAAATAAGCAGTGAAAAAATTAATGCTGTCCACAACAAAGAGTGGGAAGGAGTGAAATAGCAATCAAATAAAAAGGAAACCTTCTTTGAATTCACTTCTTGGTCCTCTTGTGGTTTATCACTGATCACTTTCCACTGCAATTGCAATAGAGCTCTCTGCCTGTCTTCCTATTATATTTTTTACAAACAAATTAATTTGAGGCATGCATAAGGCAGTTAAATATAACAGTGAATAGAAACAAGTACTCTGGACTTCTGAAGATCCAGCTCTTCTTGAAGCTTTCTGCATTCATCTTCAAGCTGACACCGTAAAGCTTTCATCTGAACTTCATGTTCATTCCTGAGTGACATGGTTTTCTGTATATACAATTAGCAAGGGAATGGCATATTTATAATGAATGTAAACAACTCAAACCTAAATATGAGGCTACATATACCTCTCTCAATTCATTTTCAGCTTGAAGTTGGGTGCGCTTTATATCTTCATTGTATTCAGCTTTGAGATTCATATCCTTCCTATCATGCTCCAGCTGAATTCTAACGACCTAATAGAAAAGCAGACAAAAACTTAATTCTTTCAAATATGAGCAAGATAGAAGACTTTAGTATGTAGATTTTAGTGAAGACCTACACATATAGCTAAGTTAGTTTAAAATGCGAAAACCTTGTTCAATGGAAATCAGCATTCTTCCACTCTGAACTGGTGCAACAATGATATCGTAACAGGGATAAGCTTTTTATGAGTTCCTAATTCCCGTCTATTAGTGATTCCATGTTCAGCAAGAAATCGTAGTAGAAGTTACGTAGTAAGTTGGCTAATAGAAAAATTACAAACTCATACAATTGTTGTTATGCTTACACATCATTCAAAATTATAAATAATATGGGATAAATTTCTATTCTGTAGTTTCCTGATTATTATAAATATTAAAAGTTCTGTGGAAAATACATAAAGAATGTGAAAAACTAATTCAAAAGCTACACTGCACCCTCAGTCCCATATAATAGCATAATGCAGGTTAATAAAAAGAACTATGTGCATTAAGCAAGCAACCAAAAACTGGAGTTCGAGTTTGCATAAGTCTCTGTGCATACAAGAGCAGCATGTTCGTCTTGAATATGCACCAACTGCAGCTTTGCCTCCTCTTTGCATTCTGCAAGTTTTTGGTCAAATTTTCTTTCCATTTCTCCAACAGCTTTATCTGCCTGAATATTTAAATGAGTGAGAAACATTACCGACAGCAAAGAGTGCTGCAATAGTTGATAATCACAAGCAAACCTTTTCTTTTTCCATATTAACAATCTCCTGCTTCTCCACCTCGTACTTCCTCCGGATGTCATTAATTGCCTGATTAAACTCCAAGTAATGTCAGTCTATGAGTGCATGCCAAAATCTAGAATTTTTATATTTAAAAAGTTGATCAAGTTACTGATAATCTATAGACGGCAAATTGTATGAGAAACTACCTGATCGTTTCTTTGAGATATTTCTTTCAAGTGCCTTGATAACTCCAACTGTTTGCTCTCTAGCATAAGATCGTATTGCTTCTTAGCTTCTGCTAATTTACTTTCAGCAGCAGTGAGCAAAGCTTGCTTCTGCAAAATTTAATATACAGGACTTTAAAATATACAAATGTTGAGAGTACTCCCTAATTTTATGTGCTCTAAGTAATTTCAGAACCTCTGTAATTTGACCTTCCAGCTTCTTTTCTTCATCCCTGTATTGCAGTAAAAGCTGTTCCTTATCCTCCAACATATTCTGAAGCTGTCCAACTTGTTTCTCCAAAGAATCTACATGCAGATCACATTTCTTACTCTCATTTTGCAAAATTACTATTACTTCTTCTTTTTTCTGTATTTCTGCCTGTAAGTTATCTGTATTATCATTGTTCTCTGCTTCTATTGATGAAATTTTCAATAATAAATCTTGCTGCAAGATATAAGAAAATATATTTAGAACCATAATATGGCATGATAATTACAGCAAATATGAGTCAGAACAACTTGCAGACCATTTTATTCTCAGCTGATCTGGAACATTCTGACAACATGTTGATTTCCTTTTCCATTTGGGAGACCAACAAGTCTGTTTCAATCTTTTTTGAGATCAGAGCTTCTGCTTCAGTCTCCAACATCTGAATTTTCTCTTTAGCTAACTGGCATTCTGCTGAAAGCTTCGCCATAACAGAGTCGTGGGATTTCTGAAGTTCAATGATCTTATCATCTAACCCCTGGTTCACTAACTGTAAAGCATCTTTTTCAGATGTTATACACAAGAACCTATCATGAAGTTGGTCATATTGCCCTTGAGCCTGCTTAGCAGCAAGGTCACTTTGCTGTTGGACCAACTTAAGACAAGAGTCATAAAGAGAGTTCAGCTGATAAATTTTTTCCATGAAAGTCAAACTTTGTTTGTCCAATTCAGCTAACTGTCCAGCTGACACATGAACAAAGCCTTCAAGATCTTTTACTTCCTGCAGCGACATAACTAACTTTTTCTCTAAGTCATCATTGCTCATCTGAAGATCACTCTTCTCTTTTTCCAACTTATCCTGAGTGACTATCAAAAGTTTAGTTTTATCTTCCTTTGACCTTAACTCAAGGTTCAACTCTCCTAATTTAGAATTCAAACTCTCTATTTCCAGTCTTTTGGCAGCTATAGATGCATCAAACTTCATTATCACAGCATCTGCAAGTAAGAAAAAAAAACATCATGGAAGAATGCCTCTACTAGGAATTACAGCTGAAAATCAATAACAAGTTACAATAAATTAAAAACAGGAGAAAATACCAGTGAACAACATGTATCTTTTCTGCTTCCATTGATATGACTAGTAAGTAATGTCAAATTTATAATCAAACTGCAAGAATGCAGATCTTTAAATTGAAATAAACGGCTAATCCTATATGCTGGGGGACCAACAACAAGGCATATACCCCACGCTCAACTTTTACTTGTGCAGCATCAACTAGATCATAATGCATGAAATGTTAAGCATAAAGTTCATATATCTCCTAAATTACGAATCCTAGAATCATATCAAGCTGTAATGAAGCAACAAAATAGTTCTACAAAAATTGCAATCTAAAAATCTCCCTTGAGCATCATCTACCCATAGATATATTACATATACCCTATATGGTAATTAACCAAGACAGATTATCAGCCTTTTGCAAATCAAATGACAATCGAAACCTACAAACAGATAAGAAAGATGCTAACCTTTATCCTCTATGATATTCGCTATTCTGCATTGTTCATCTCTGTAAAGCTTATCCTTTTCCTGTCTCTCAATATTCAGTTCCTTCAGTTCCTTCTCGCCTACATGAGAATGCAAGCACATTACAGAATGGCAAATCAAAGCTTAACAAAATCAGAATCTTCAACTTCATTTCAAACAGATAAGTAACAAACCCCTACTTCCATATCCATAAAACTAGTCATGTTGAATCAGATGTGTGCAATTCAAATTGATCTTCGACATGAAGACTGGACAGTTGAAAAGAAAAATGGAAGATAACATCTTACGATCTCTAACGAGTTCCTCTACGGAGCCTAATTTCAGAGATAACCCATCCATCTGTTGTTTCAAGTTGTCAATAGCTTTCGTGCTTGCAGATAGTTTTTCTTCGAAAAATTCCTTGTCTTTTTCAGCTGTTGAAGCAAATTACGAACAATCACAAACATAATTTACAAGAAAGATGAAATAATTCAGAGACCAGCAAATATACACAAAACGCCTACCATTCTGAACCTGACCAGCTAAGTGTTGTAAAGTTTCAGTGAGTTGATCACACAAAGTCTTGGTTGAAGAGAATTTAGACTCCAGTCCTTTCCAGAGCTTCTCATCTTCTTTCTGCTTTACTTTAAGCTTAGCATTCTCATTGAAAGCATTCTGCAACTTTTCCTCCAATTCATGGATACGCTCTAGTGATTTCTTAAGTTTAGAGTTCTGCATTTTTTAAATTTTGATAATCAAATTACCATTTCATTTCAAGTTATCTAGATTTCACAGCATATAGTAAAAAATTAAATCAACATCTAATAAATTCATGCAAACAAACATACACAACTAAATAAGATTAATTAGGTATTAAAATTTTGTAGAAGCAATAAAAACATCTGTTGAATTGATGTAGTACCACACTGATTCAAATACTAACAAACATAGAGAGATGGAGAGATACCTACATACATTCCTGCGAAAATTTTATACAAGATTAAAAAAGGATATGCATTCATGTTACCGCCATTTCCAGATCAGTCTTCACGGAAGCTTGCTCTTTGACCAATTTTTCTGCAATCAAACAAAGCAACAACAAAAATTCATCAACATTGCTTAAATTCTTCAATAATTCAACAAAAAAAAACCATAATTAAGCGAAAAAAACCTGCAGTGAGCTTCAAATTCGAGAAACTTCCTGATGTAATCGAATCTGAAGAAGAACGCGAAGACATCGCGAAGGTCTTAGCGGTTCCAGATAGAGATTTCAGCTGATCCAAACTCTTAATGCTTTGAAACCCTAGCTTCTGCATTTTCGAAATCATTCTATAAACAAAACCCTGAGAATTTGGTCTCTGAGTCACTCTCTCTTTCTGAAATTTGGAGCTTTTTCGAGTGGACAGTTGAAAGTGAATTGGGCGCCAAGAAAATGGAATTTATAGGTAAGGGCCGCACTGTGACTATCACGTGAGATAGTTAAACGTTAAAGGGTAGTATTTTGTGCGGTTGACTGTACTGTATTAACGGTAAGGTGTAATGGTGACCAATGGGTCACAACTGACGTCTGTATCAGGTGGTACGACTTACGAGCAGTAGCGGATCCAGGAATTTCTTTTAGGGTAGGCCAAAATAAAAATTTATTATACATTACTATTTTTGTTCATTAATATTTTTGTTAGGGTGGGTCAAAATATATAAATTATACATATTAATATTAAAAAGAAAATTTTGAGGGTGGGCCAAAGTGGCTGGATCCACCACTGCTTACGAGTGATCATTCTGCACATGGAGGTAGTAAGTAGTAACACCCACCTGCAAAACTTTAGTAGTATTTTTGAAATATTATTGTTAAGTTGAGTTAGGTTATTATTACTAAGTAAGATTTGAAAATTAACAAAAAAAAACCTTTAAGTTTGTTAATTTAGCTAAATACCCTAAACAATAAAAAGCTAATAAATTGACAAAAACACCCGTACTTACCCACAGTTGTCAGATTCCGATCACCATTGCCAGAATCTGACCGAATTTTGATGACACTGTGCACGATCAACCAAATCTGGCCAATCGAGCACCGCTATGCCTTTTCCTAGGCCAGATCTATGATGATGGCCAAAGATATGGCCGTCATTGACAGTCAGATGTGGCCAAAGATCTAGCTATAGATCTGATCGGAAAAGGCCATAGCGGCTCACGACTGGCCAAATCTGGTCAGTCGTGTGCAATGACACCAAATTCCCACAGTGGTGGACGGAATCTAGCAACTGTGAGTGAGTGAGAGTGTTTTTATTAATTAAATTTTTTTTTTTTTTTTTTTTTTGATGTTTAGTTAAATTAACAAAACTATGAGAGTTTAAAAAAATTAAATATTATTGGATATGATTTTAAAAATAGGGAAACAAATATGCATTTTTTTCATGATAGGGATAGGATATTTTCAAAAGAGGGAAACAAACGACTCAACCTTATTTTAAANACTTCCTGATGTAATCGAATCTGAAGAAGAACGCGAAGACATCGCGAAGGTCTTAGCGGTTCCAGATAGAGATTTCAGCTGATCCAAACTCTTAATGCTTTGAAACCCTAGCTTCTGCATTTTCGAAATCATTCTATAAACAAAACCCTGAGAATTTGGTCTCTGAGTCACTCTCTCTTTCTGAAATTTGGAGCTTTTTCGAGTGGACAGTTGAAAGTGAATTGGGCGCCAAGAAAATGGAATTTATAGGTAAGGGCCGCACTGTGACTATCACGTGAGATAGTTAAACGTTAAAGGGTAGTATTTTGTGCGGTTGACTGTACTGTATTAACGGTAAGGTGTAATGGTGACCAATGGGTCACAACTGACGTCTGTATCAGGTGGTACGACTTACGAGTGATCATTCTGCACATGGAGGTAGTAAGTAGTAACACCCACTTGCAAAACTTTAGAAGTATTTTTAAAATATTATTGTTAAGTTGAGTTAGGTTATTATTATTAGGTAAGATTTAAAAATTAATAAAAAAACCTTTAAGTTTGTTAATTTAGCTAAATACCCTAAATAATAAAAAGCTAATAAATTGACAAAAACACCCTTATTTATCTACAGTTGTCAGATTCCCGTCACCATTGCCAGAATCTGACTGAAATTTGATGACATTGCGCACGATCAGCCAAATCTGGCCAATTGAACACCACTATGCCTTTTCCTAGGACAGGTCTACGATGATGGCTAAAGATATAACCGTCATTGACAGCCAAATGTGGCCAAAGATCTAGCTATAGATCTGACCGGAAAAGGCCATAGCGACTCACGATCGGCCAAATCTGGTCGGTCGTGTGCAATGACACCAAATTCCCACAGTGGTGGACGGAATCTAGCAACTGTGAATGGGTGAGAGAGTTTTTATTAATTTATAATTTTTTTTTTTTTTTATGTTTAGTTAAATTAACAAACCTATGAGAGTTTAAAATAATTAAATATTATTGGATAGGATTTTAAGAATAGGGAAACAAATATACATTTTTTTCATGATAGGATATTTTCAAAATAGGGAAACAAACGACTCGACCTTATTTTAAAAAAAAAAATCTTTGACTTCGAATTTTAATTTCTAATTATTTGAACAATTAACAATAAAAGGAAAGCTAATAATATTATATGCGTTTGTTTTGTTATTTTGGATAGGATTTTGAGAATAATATTGGGTAGTTGAATAGGGTAAGTATTATGAGGTAAAATTTAAAAATTAACAAAAAAACCTCATAGGTTTGCTAATTTAACTAAACACCCCAATATATAAAATTTTTGTAAAATGACAAAAACACCTCCACCCAGTCACCCACCCACATTGCCAAATTCCAGCCACCATAGTCGGAATCTGGTCGAAAAATGACGTTATGACGCATACCGGTCAGATCTGGCTGGTCATGCGTCGACGCGGCCTTTTCCAGTCAGATCCACCCCAGATCTGGCCGTCGACAGCTGCAAAAGGCCAGATCGGTGAATTATCGGCCAGTTCAATCATTTCTACGCCGTTGTGACGATGGTGGTTGCCGAAATCTGGCAACTATGGGTGGATGGGGGTGTTTTTATTAATTTTTAAACTTTTTAGGATTGCTTATTAAATTAATAAACTTAAGGGGTCCAAAAGTAATTAAAAAATAGAATAGTATTTCTCAAATAATTAAACAAACAAGTATTTTTATAATATGATAGGGAATAGGGTATGAAAAAATAAACAAATGCACCCATCAATTTTACTCTTTTTTTTTTTTTTTGGTCCTTCTAAAGCATGAATAAAAGATAGATTTATTAATATATTTTTTGTAAATAAATAAGAGAGTAGAAAAACAAAATTCGTTAGCATCTCTCTTTCTAACTTTAATTATTATCTGAATTAATAATTAGTTGCTTCCTTTTAATACTAAAAATTTCAACAAAAACATTTACGAGATAAGTAAAGATTCTTGATAGCTTGATTGGTTAATGTAAGTAAAAGTATATTTAAATTAATGAAAACTTAAATATCTACTTATAACAAGAAATACTTTTGTGGAAAGTAATTTTTTTTTTCTTCTCAATTTTGATATTAAAATGTAAGTTCTCGAATCTCGATAGCTAGTAAGTGTGTTGCTTCATTTACTTAAAACTCACATGGAACACAATTAGACAACATGTTCTAACAGATAATGTAATAAGTACAATTTAATTAGCCTTTTTGTATGCATAAATAATAAATATTATGTTTCAATTAAATTCTGGAAAAAATCAGGGCAATATTGTAAAATAACATAGTTAATGGACTAACAGATACCCATAGAAGAAGTAGGGAAAAAAAAAAAAAAAAATAGAAGTAGATGAACCAGTAAAAAAAATAAAAAATAAAAGAAAATCCAGAAACCGAAAACCAACTCGAGGTCTCTACTTGCTACGTAGGGACTTCTACTATGTGAGGCGATGGAAGCGAAGCAGAAGCCAAAGGCAAATCCGCGATTTTATTTCTATAAAAATCCCATCTTCACCTCGAAAGCTCTCATAAACCAATTCAATACAACACTCCTAAACCACGCATAATTTAATTTTATTGCCGCCTCAGAATGCCAGTATTTGACCTCTGGTTCAATAATTCCCTTACCAACGACCAATTTCAAACCCCATTTCATATCAATTCCGACTCAGATTCTGGTTTCTTTATTACCGGTGGCTTATTTCTCGAACCCACCGTCTCTTCTTCGTTTATTCGTTTAATTTCATCCCAAATTTCTTCAATTAGCATTTCTCCCTCTTGTAAACACGTAGTTTCTGGGATTTCGAGGCGTAAAACTCGTGTTGCATCCACAAAGAGTGGCTTGTTTTTGTCAGTTAGCTTGAGAAATGATGGGCTTTTTCCGGAACCGAAGGGGTGTTTGGTTCACAATGAAGATAAAAATTCTGAGGAGGCGGCGAAGATTGAAGCAAATAATGTAGTGATTGAAGCAACTAATGTAGTGATTGAAGCAACTAATGTAGTGATTGAAGCCAATGAAAAGAAGAGGAAGGTCAGGGTACGTGGAGGCCGTGCAATGAATACCACTAAGCATTTTTGGGCTGGAGCTATTTCAGCTATGGTTTCAAGGTACTTGTGAGACAAAAACTAAAATCCCATGTACTTTTTGTCACTGAACTTGAAGCTAAAATTTGATGTACCTTAATAATTGATTAAAATATTAAAGCATTTCCAAGTTTAATTAGGTTTTATTTTTGGGGTCTTATACTGATTTGCAAACTACTTATTTGAGTATGAATGATTATTGGGTGTCAGAACTTTTGTTGCGCCACTTGAGAGACTAAAGCTGGAATATATAGTTCGTGGTGAACAGAGGCATCTTTTTGAGCTCATAAAGTCAATTGCAGTTACTCAGGGAGTGGGAGGTTTTTGGAAGGGAAACTTTGTTAATATCCTTCGTACAGCTCCATTTAAAGCCGTAAATTTCACCGCTTATGATACCTACCGGAAGCAGTTGCTTAGATTTTCTGGGAATGAGGAAACTACAAATTTTGAGAGGTTCATTGCTGGTGCTGCCGCTGGCATTACTGCTACTATACTCTGCTTACCACTTGACACGGTATGTGGAGTTTCAGATTTTATTCTATTTTATTGTTTAATTACGTTACCATAATTGCCTGCATTTTAGCTTTGTGACTTGTATTTATGGTTAGTGGTGTTCAATTGTGACTTCCTTGTGGTTTAATGTTGTTTTCTTGCTTAAGATTGAGTTTTCTTTGGGAGTTAAGACTTCAAGCAGAGACATTGTTGATAATTCTACGACCTCATTGGTTTTACCCTGTATTTAGTCATATTTTGATTGTTATATGTTCCAGATACGAACGAAGATAGTGGCACCTGGTGGGGAAGCTTTGGGAGGTGTGATTGGTGCTTTCCGCCACATGATACAAACTGAAGGGTTCTTTTCCCTTTATAAGGGCTTAGTACCCTCTATCATAAGCATGGCACCTTCAGGTGCTGTTTTCTATGGTGTGTATGATATATTGAAATCTGCTTATCTGCATTCACCAGAAGGTAAGAAAAGGATTCAGAAAATGATTGAGCAGGAGCAGGAACTGACTGCTTTTGACCAGCTGGAGCTGGGACCTGTTAGGACATTACTATATGGGGCTAATGCTGGTGCTTGTGCTGAAGCTGCTACATATCCCTTTGAAGTTTTAAGGAGACAGCTTCAGTTGCAAGTTCAGGCAACCAAATTGAGTGCGGTGGAAACCTTTGTCAAGATAATTCAGCAAGGAGGAGTTCCAGCTCTCTATGCAGGACTTATTCCCAGCTTACTGCAGGTATAGGCATTGAGTTTTAAATACGGCAAACTAACCCATGATTTTTCGCTTACGAGTGATCATTCTGCACATGGAGGTAGTAAGTAGTAACACCCACCTGCAAAACTTTAGTAGTATTTTTGAAATATTATTGTTAAGTTGAGTTAGGTTATTATTACTAAGTAAGATTTGAAAATTAACAAAAAAAAACCTTTAAGTTTGTTAATTTAGCTAAATACCCTAAACAATAAAAAGCTAATAAATTGACAAAAACACCCGTACTTACCCACAGTTGTCAGATTCCGATCACCATTGCCAGAATCTGACCGAATTTTGATGACACTGTGCACGATCAACCAAATCTGGCCAATCGAGCACCGCTATGCCTTTTCCTAGGCCAGATCTATGATGATGGCCAAAGATATGGCCGTCATTGACAGTCAGATGTGGCCAAAGATCTAGCTATAGATCTGATCGGAAAAGGCCATAGCGGCTCACGACTGGCCAAATCTGGTCAGTCGTGTGCAATGACACCAAATTCCCACAGTGGTGGACGGAATCTAGCAACTGTGAGTGAGTGAGAGTGTTTTTATTAATTAAATTTTTTTTTTTTTTTTTTTTTTGATGTTTAGTTAAATTAACAAAACTATGAGAGTTTAAAAAAATTAAATATTATTGGATATGATTTTAAAAATAGGGAAACAAATATGCATTTTTTTCATGATAGGGATAGGATATTTTCAAAAGAGGGAAACAAACGACTCAACCTTATTTTAAAAAAAAAAAAACTTTGACTTCGAATTTTAATTTCTAATTATTTGACCAATTAACAATAAAAGGAAAGCTAATAATATTATGTGCGTTTGTTTTGTTATTTTGGATACGATTTTGGGAATAATATTGGATAGTTGAATAGGGTAAGTATTACGAGGTAAAATTTAAAAATTAATAAAAAAACCTCATAGGTTTGCTAATTTAATTAAACACCTCAATATATAAAAATTTTGTAAAATGACAAAAACACTTTCACCCAATCACCCACCCACAGTCCAAATTTCGGCCACCACCGTCCGAATCTGGCCGAAAAATGGCGTTATGACGTATACTGGTCGGATCTGGCTGGACGTGCGTCGATATGACCTTTTTCGGCCAAATCCACTCCAGATCTGGCTGAAAAAGGACAGATCTACGGTCAGATCTGGCTGTCGACGGCTGCAAAAGGCCAGATCAGCAAATTATCGGCCAGTTCCAATCGTTTCTACGCCGTTGTGACGATGGTGGTTGCTGGAATCTGGCAACTATGGGTGGGTGGGGGTATTTTTGTTAATTTTTAAACTTTTTTTGGGGTGTTTAATTAAATTAATAAACTTAAAGGGTCTAAAAGTAATTAAAAAATAGAATAGTATTTCTTAAATATAGGGAATAGGGTATGAAAAAATAAACAAATGCACCCATCAATTTTACTCTTTTTTTTTTTTTTTTGTCCTTCTAAAGCATGAATAAAAGATAGATTTATTAATATATTTTTTGTAAATAAATAAGAGAGTAGAAAAACAAAATTCGTTAGCATCTCTCTTTCTAACTTTAATTATTATCTGAATTAATAATTAGTTGCTTCCTTTTAATACTAAAAATTTCAACAAATACATTTATGAGATAAGTAAAGATTCTTGATAGCTTGATTGGTTAATGTAAGTAAAAGTATATTTAAATTAATGAAAACTTAAATATCTACTTATAACAAGAAATACTTTTGTGGAAAGTAATTTTTTTTTTCTTCTCAATTTTGATATTAAAATGTAAGTTCTCGAATCTCGATAGCTAGTAAGTGTGTTGCTTCATTTACTTAAAACTCACATGGAACACAATTAGACAACATGTTCTAACAGATAATGTAATAAGTACAATTTAATTAGCCTTTTTGTATGCATAAATAATAAATATTATGTTTCAATTAAATTCTGGAAAAAATCAGGGCAATATTGTAAAATAACATAGTTAATGGACTAACAGATACCCATAGAAGAAGTAGGGAAAAAAAAAAAAAAAAATAGAAGTAGATGAACCAGTAAAAAAAATAAAAAATAAAAGAAAATCCAGAAACCGAAAACCAACTCGAGGTCTCTACTTGCTACGTAGGGACTTCTACTATGTGAGGCGATGGAAGCGAAGCAGAAGCCAAAGGCAAATCCGCGATTTTATTTCTATAAAAATCCCATCTTCACCTCGAAAGCTCTCATAAACCAATTCAATACAACACTCCTAAACCACGCATAATTTAATTTTATTGCCGCCTCAGAATGCCAGTATTTGACCTCTGGTTCAATAATTCCCTTACCAACGACCAATTTCAAACCCCATTTCATATCAATTCCGACTCAGATTCTGGTTTCTTTATTACCGGTGGCTTATTTCTCGAACCCACCGTCTCTTCTTCGTTTATTCGTTTAATTTCATCCCAAATTTCTTCAATTAGCATTTCTCCCTCTTGTAAACACGTAGTTTCTGGGATTTCGAGGCGTAAAACTCGTGTTGCACCCGCAAAGAGTGGCTTGTTTTTGTCAGTTAGCTTGAGAAATGATGGGCTCGTTTCGGAACCCAAGGGGTGTTTGGTTCACAATGAAGATAAAAATTCTGAGGAGGCGGCGCAGATTGAAGCAAATAATGTAGTTATTGAAGCCAACGAAAAGAAGAGGAAGGTCAGGGTACGTGGAGGCCGTGCAATGAATACCACAAAGCATTTTTGGGCTGGAGCTATTGCAGCTATGGTTTCAAGGTACTTGTGAGACAAAATCTAAAATCCCATGTACTTTTTGTCACTGAACATTAAAGCATTTCCAAGTTTAATTAGGTTTTATTTTTGGGGTCTTATACTGATTTGCAAACTACTTATTTGAGTATAAATGATTATTGGGTGTCAGAACTTTTGTTGCGCCACTTGAGAGACTAAAGCTGGAATATATAGTTCGTGGTGAACAGAGGCATCTTTTTGAGCTCATTAAGTCAATTGCAGTTACTCAGGGAGTGGGAGGTTTTTGGAAGGGAAACTTTGTTAATATCCTTCGTACAGCTCCATTTAAAGCCGTAAATTTCACCGCTTATGATACCTACCGGAAGCAGTTGCTTAGATTTTCTGGGAATGAGGAAACTACAAATTTTGAGAGGTTCATTGCTGGTGCTGCCGCTGGCATTACTGCTACTATACTCTGCTTACCACTTGATACGGTATGTGGAGTTTCAGATTTTATTCTATTTTATTGTTTAATTAAGTTACCATAATTGCCTGCATTTCAGCTTTGTGACTTGTATTTATGGTTAGTGGTGTACAATTGTGACTTCCTTGTGGTTTAATGTTGTTTTCTTGCTTAAGATTGAGTTTTCTTTGGGAGTTAAGACTTCAAGCAGAGACATTGTTGATAATTCTACGACCTCATTGGTTTTACCCTGTATTTAGTCATATTTTGATTGTTATATGTTCCAGATACGAACGAAGATAGTGGCACCTGGTGGGGAAGCTTTGGGTGGTGTGATTGGTGCTTTCCGCCACATGATACAAACTGAAGGGTTCTTTTCCCTTTATAAGGGCTTAGTACCCTCTATCATAAGCATGGCACCTTCAGGTGCTGTTTTCTATGGTGTGTATGATATATTGAAATCTGCTTATCTGCATTCACCAGAAGGTAAGAAAAGGATTCAGAAAATGATTGAGCAGGAGCAGGAACTGACTGCTTTTGACCAGCTGGAGCTGGGACCTCTTAGGACATTACTATATGGGGCTACTGCTGGTGCTTGTGCTGAAGCTGCTACATATCCCTTTGAAGTTTTAAGGAGACAGCTTCAGTTGCAAGTTCAGGCAACCAAATTGAGTGCGGTGGAAACCTTTGTCAAGATAATTCAGCAAGGAGGAGTTCCAGCTCTCTATGCAGGACTTATTCCCAGCTTACTGCAGGTATAGGCATTGAGTTTTAAATACGGCAAACTAACCCATGATTTTTTATTTTTTTTTTTTGGGGGCACTTAATACTAATTATGCATGCCTTAGTTGTAGAAATGCAGTGTTGGAGTACTACAACAAAAATTTATGTTGCTAAAATCAATATTCACCTTTGAAATCTTTGATGAATTGGTGCCACAGATACCTGGGTTAGGAGTTCTGCGTATATAACTTCTTATGCCTTGTTCCATAAAATAACAAAAATCTTGTTACTAATCTTTGACTTAATAAAATAATAAAAAATTGTTGACTAGGGCTCAAATTACACTTTGAAATCTTGTTTGCTATATTGCTGGATGATCGGGCAAACTGAAAATTTCTTAATTCTCCAATTCTGAGGGCATAGTGGTTCATCTCACATAGAATTTTCTGCCTTTTCATATCATGGCTTGGTCACTTCTATGTTAGATGTAAATTATACATTGCTTTCAATTAACTCGATATATGAAAGGGAAAGATTTATTGTAGCTATAGCAGGCTTTGCTTCTTTAGGCAGTTCTTCAATGCAGCAAGGGTGATTACCGCTGTTACAATCTGATTGAATTCTGCCACTTTAGATTGCCTTCTTTTATGTTATGTTTGGCATGTCGTGCTGTCTCCATGTTGTCCTTCTCCAAGTGTGCCTTTTTTATACAAGCCCACTATGCAAGATAATATATAATCATAGATATCGAGATTCTTTTTTCTTTTAATGTATTTTTTAATGGTAATTTCCAAGATAGCTATCATGTTCATTCAAATAGTTTAGGTTAATGTTCTGCTATCTTACTCCACATCTCTATATTTTGCATTTGCAGGTGCTTCCCTCGGCTTCAATAAGTTACTTTGTCTATGAGTTTATGAAGATAGTTCTCAAAGCGGAATGAATAGAGACAGTGGGGCCTCTGGAGAAACAACTGGTAGGAGTTCATGTGAAAGCACAGGATATATAGATTCAACATAGTATGAATTAGTTGATTCGCATTTACATTTAGCAGTTACTGTTGGTATTACCAAAGTATTTTTTATTTGCCATTTACATTTAGCAGTTTCTATTGGTATTACCAAAAGATTTTTGTGCCACAAAACGAAGAAATGAAGTTCTTCAACAAGTTAAGTGCCTCTTTCTTGATTCATCTTCTCATGTTTGATTCTTCAGTCATTAACCAAATCTGGCTTTCATACTTTAGAAACCTGATTCTGGTTATGAGATGATATTTTTCATCTTCACAGCTGAACATGCTTAGTGGAGCATTGTATTTGTGCTCAACCTATGGTGATGTGGATTTTGATGTAAACAATTTTGAAAATCTATTAATTGTTGCTCTATGAACTAGTTTTTCTTGGTTCTTACAATTTTTGTTTTTTCTATAACTTGAATGTCTTACATTTGGAGACAGTTTTGGGAATTTATGCTGATATGCTGAAGTTTAGAGGCTGTTAATAAGAAATCCCACTCCCAGCTCTTATCAGAAGTTGTGTCGAAGTTTTTTGAATTCTTGTTTCTCTTTTGATAGGGGATTTAAATTGACACCAATGTAAGGGCTTACAGTCTTACAGACAGAAAAGTTACTCCAAATGTTGTTTGTGCTTCTGTATATCTACATGAGTCTTCGAGATGTATCTTGATTACACTCCATCAAGATGTAAGTTTCCTAGTCAAAGTGTTAATATGACTTTGAAGTTGAAAATTGAATAGATGAGCTTGATAATGAGGTTTCGTTCCAGAGGTGCCATGCTTCAATTTAATGCCTTCATCCTGGTTCATTTGTATCATTTTTCCTGTCATGTTATTACATTGCATGGTTGTATGTTCTTCTGCCTTTTTGACTTATAAGTTGGTTTCTTAGTTGTAATTACAAATATTATAACCAGAGAACATATCTCCACTTCATATCCTAACCAGAAAACTTGCTACAATCATTTATTCATTATTTAATGGTACTTGAGTTAATTTTTGCTAATAAATCATTAAATGCTTCCAATGCACACACTGAGCTCGCTGGAAAACCATGCTTAAACTTGCCACTTAACATCTCTGCTCGTTTTTGCATCTCTTCGTTACCCATTAGCCTCTCAATTCCCTTCACCATATCATCCTTCTTTACCATCTCTGACAAATCATCGGTAACTCTATACCCAACCTTAAGATGACTCACCACCAATTTGGCGTTTAAGTATTGGTCACCCCTAATAGGCCAGGCCAAAAATGGGATCCCACGTCCGATTGCCTCCATCGTAGAATTCCATCCACAATGTGATAAAAATCCACCGGTTGACTTATGGCCCAGAATCAATAATTGTGGTGCCCATCCGTATATTATCAAACCCCTATTACTAACTCTATCGTCTAACCCATGAGGAATGTGTGCTTCCGACCCAGGTTGTATGACCCAAATGAACAGTCGAGTCGACTGTTCTAATGCACCTGCCAATTGAGAATATTCCTCCGTGGTGGGACGTACTTCACTACCAAAAGCAACGTATAAAACTGATCGACGTGGCTTCGAATCCAGCCATTGGATCACATCCTCTTCTGTCGAACTCGATTGGCGCTTTTGCTTTCTAATCTCTCCGTCACGAAGCAACGGTTCAGAGGAGTTCCAATACTGTTCAGGCAGTAATGGTCCCACACCCCAAGCTGGCAAACCCATCTGATCAGCCATGTACTTAATAAAGGGACCGTCAAGATCATCACACGTGTTGAACATTATCGCGATTGATCCTTCAATTTCTGGAACCCATGGTGGCCTATCACCAGGTTTTGGCGGACCCCCTTTCCCGCCACGTGGTGTTTCCGGAGATTTTCGTTTAAGATCCGAATAGGTTAACGCCATTTCTTCCGGTAACCCCGGAATGACCCGGATTTCACCAGATTTGATATTAGCGGCTTGAAGCTTCCACGCGCCCCACTCCATGGCGGCAGCACATGCACCGAAAGTAAAAAGACTAATAACCGGTATATTGAATTTTAAAAAAAGGGCTTTGGTCCAGCCCATTTGGAAATCAACGATCGCGCACAGAGGCATGGGCAAGTCTGGATTCTCAAAGCAGTTTAGTAGGTGCGTCTTGAGTTCCTGAGCAGACTGCTGGCAGAGTGGGTCGGATCCAGGCATGGGTCGGCCAGAGGAGGTAAGCTGGACTGTTTGGGTGCGAGGCGGTTGCGTGAAAGAGGAGGGAATGGCAGAAGCGAAAATAGAAGGAAAAAGGAGGGTAGTATGGTAATGCATGGAAGAAATATGCTTGCAGAGCTCCATGCATGGGTTGAGATGACCCTGTCCATAACCTGTCACAACACAAATCTGACCTTCCATTTTTATTAATTTATTATGGAAGAAGAGGGAGAAGGACTCGTAGGAGTGTCTGAGTTTGACGCTTGAGTGAGAGACTAAAGAGTAAAGAGTGAAGATAACGATATCTCAACTGTGAACAATAATTAAGAATTAAAGAGGGAAGGAAATAGTAGTAGTTTTAGACTTGTAGTCTTGTACATTCGTAATCTTGCGGAATTTGAATTGGTGACCGACTTGATTCTTACGTCGGGGACATTGACATACTTCAATTTCTTCTTGCCTTCTTGGTGATGGCCCGACGGGCGATGATTCGCTACACCCGACCTTACCAAGCTCATAGTAAGTGGCCCCCGCTCACCAGCCCACAGATATCCATCCCATCCTGACAAGTGAAAAATTGAAAATCCGGGCAATTTTTTATTTTCGCGCATCTGTCGCTGTGATGCTATCAGGATCTGTAATTTTCTGTTCACACGGAAACACATTTCCATGACAAATTTTGTGAACTCTTTAGTAATTTCACAATAGAAAGAATGCAGAGTTGGAAAGTGAAATAGTTCAGATTGTAACTTGTGGTACTAAGGAAAATTTAATTTTAAAAAGAGTAAACACATGTTCCCACCCGAGATTCAGCGAAAAGACAAGTTAAATAAGGGATGAGAGGTAATGTTTAAAGTTGTTGGGATGCTCAAAAGTGAATCGTATGTTCACTGCTATTGTATTAATAAGAGGATAAAGGTTAAGTCACGTTTAACGAACTGAGCTACAATTTAGAGAGAGAGAGGGAGAGAGAGTAAGCTAGTTTAGAGTCAAATTAGTCAATCTCGCAAATAAGAGGAATGACCTCTATTTATAGTAGGAAAAACCAAGGTAATGATTACTAAATCTGTAAATGGGTGGATACCATGTAAATCTTTTTTGCGTCTCATTGTTCACCTGTCCGAGGGATTTCTTGGACTTATATAGAGTTTGAAAATGTGGACGATTTCTATCCACATGCTTGCCTAGCACTAACCCACTACACTGACGGGGCGTGCCACGCTAGTGAAGAGAAGAAGAAGAAGAAGGAGGGAGGGCAGTTTGGTAATTACAGTCTCTACACTTGTGTCAGAATTCAACAATAGCTAATGGTGTTATTTTAAGGGTCAGGATCTGAATAAATTAAACCGGGGTTACCAACTGGCCATTTTGCGGAACCTCGGGTGGGAGCATGTCGTTTACTCTTTTGAAAAATCAAAATAACTCGTTATTCACAATTGCCAACAGCAACAACTTTGTACGTGTGAGTTAATAAATGGGCGTTGTATACTTGTATGAACGCCCCACTTTTTCTCGCTTATTCCGTAGCTCGCTCTCTTTCTTTTAAAAACACAAAACAAATTCCCACCAAGTTTCTTTGCCACGAGTCATCATCATCAATTTTCTCCAACACTTGGCTCCAAAACCCTAATCTATCTCAATCACCGAGGCCATGCTGCCGTCGGGAGAGGAAGCCGCCACATCCTGTCGCTTCTGTTCGAGCTTCACCGTCGAGAATGGCGGTTCTCACGACAGTGATATCAACGGATCCGGACATCGAGGCTGCATGCATTGCAAAAGATCCGATCCTTCTTCTTCAACTTCTTGTTACTCTTGCTCATCGCTCTGGCTTGACCTTGTTCCATTTAAGGAATCGGAGAATCTTCGAAGAATCATCACTGCCTCGGCTAAAGGTTTCTCAATTGGAGCTGGTCTCAAAGGCGGCTTAGCTCTCTTCTCACTTCTCGCTCGGCTTAGACGCACTCGATTATCGTCCTCTGCTAGGTATATTATCTTATTTGAACATATGCTTCTTCTTTTTTTCTTAATTTTTCTTTACCTTACTGATACTTTGGTTTTGATTTTATTTCTATGACTGATTTAGGAAAATTGAGGTGTTTTCAAATAAGGAAGCAATTGCACTAGCTATAAAAGAGACACTTAGATACGGTCTTTTCCTTGGAACATTTGCTGGTACATTTGTTTCTGTGGATGAGATTATCGGTGCTTTGGGGGGTCATCGTAGGCAATACTCTACCTCAATTTTGTTATTTCAATTTCTTCTGTTATTACACTTGAATTAACGAGCTACTAAATTGAGTTCGGTTTATTAAGTTTTTTTGTATCTTTTTAATTTAGGACGGCGAAATGGAGGGCTCTATTTGCTGGCTTGATAGCAGGGCCTTCGATGCTGCTTACTGGACCAAACACGCAGCATACAAGCTTGGCAATATACATACTGATGCGTGCTGCAGTGTTGGCGTCGCGTTGTGGAATAAAGAGTGAACGGTTTGGGAGATTTTGTAAACCTCTTACTTGGAAGCATGGTGACATCTTCCTTATGTGCCTCTCTTCTTCACAAATTTTGTAAGTTTCTTATTACTTTGAGATGAATTCCAGCTTCAATTTTGGAATTTCCAGGTTTTTAGCTATTGATATTCAGCATAGTCAAAGGGAGTTTTATGTTGAATTGGAATAATGGCAGTCAATTTCGAAATTCTATGTGAAAAAAAAAAAAATTATGACCTCTTTTAAATCTGAAGAAAATTTCTTCATTTATTTGTTTATTTATTTTTAATACTGAGAATCCCCTCGTCAGCAAGAAGCTTTAGTAGTTAGGATTAGGAACCCGTGAGATATTTTATTTCAGATAGCTGTGCCTAAGGGAATATGAACTGCCCTTTGGGGCTTTTACTCGAGTGAAAGCTTAATAAGTCATCAAGTTTTGTAGACTCAAATTACATTTGGGTTATTTCCTGTAGACACAGGTTTAACTCATGAATTCCAGCTTGCCAATTCTAATAACTTAAGTTAACCACTAGCATATAGAAACTGAAAGACAAAAACGGAACACTCAATCTGCATATATAAAGTAAAAGTTTGTAAAAGCACCAGGTCAAAAACGAATTAAGAATATTTTAAAGGTCAATTTGATAGTTTGACTGGCACCTTGATGATCTCATAGCAGTGGCAGGAGAAGAAATGTGGGAAAAATATTTATGGCTTTAAAGACTGTAAGGACTATATGTTCTTTCATGTTTTTTGTCATATGCTTGAGAAATTGCTTAAAATTAACATGTTTGTGTGTAGCCTGCCACTCTTTCATATATGATGGCATATAGAGGACCTGACTCTGGAAAGTTGTGCTGTCCTCTATTTCTTAAAGAGATCCCTGATACATCATTTCTTAGCCAATTTCTGAAGTTGAGTAATTCTTTTTCCTTTCAGGTCTGCTTACATATTGAAGCAAGACAGTTTGGCTCCACCTTATCGGTCCTTTCTGAATAAACATGGTGGGAAGGATATTGTCATTTTGCAAGGAGTGAAAAATATTGCATGTGGCTTGCCTTTCTCTAATTTGGAGGCAATAGAGAAACATTACAAGGCCACTGGTGTTGACATCAAACTAGATCCAGGAATGAAAGTTCCCTGCTCAGTATGGTTATTATTTCTATCTTAATTTTCTTCTACCTAGAGATAATAATGTGTTTTGCTTTTGATAATAGATGTAGTCTGTTTCTTAGCCTCATACTTCAACCTCACACTTCATGCAGATCATTCATGGAAATCAGTCTTGTGTTGAACATGTCGTGTCTTTCCTTATTCAAGCCTACAAAAGAGCCTTACCAGTATACATCCCAGTTTATTTAATTCCTGCACTGATAGTTCATCGGCAGGGCCTATTGAAAAGGTATAATTAAGACTTTTGTCTAAGTATATTAAAGTTCAATTCACATTCTTGGTGAAGGCATCTTCAAATTTGTCAACTGGTTGAAATGCTTTCAATTTTAATGAAATCATAGTTTGTATCGAGGCTAACTGTACAAATTGTGTCTGTGATCTTATTCTTATGTTGTCTGATACAAGCCCGTCATGCTTACTCTAAACTGGTCCACTGTGACTGTTAGTTTGCATGTGAACTGGAATTTGGATGGCTGTATGTATGCTGCAAAATTTAGCTGGCACTCATGTTTATATTTGCTTTTCTTCATATTTGAGCATTCAGGAGGCATTCCCCCTTGTGTTGCTTAGTCCTGTCTGATGTCTTGTTCTAAGGCTTAGTATCTCAAATTCAGTCCTTAAGAGCATTTCTCAGTGCCCTCTTTCCTTGTTTCAGCTGTTAAATAATAAGTTAATGACTATGGCTGTACATTCATAATCTTGCTATGCTTTGAACACTTATTGTTATCATTCTTGGCTGTTGAGATGCAAATATAATGTTCTGTTGGTTTTGTTATTTGTGGTGCTGCCAACGGTGGTTATGTTTGATATCCATGTGCTTTATATAGGCCTAACACTATATTGGGGAAGAGTCTTCTTGGTACTGCAAGATCAAGCTTATTTTTGTCTGTATATTGCACATCTGCCTGGTAAGCAAATCATTTGTTTTTTTTTTTTAACCATCTCGCACATAATTCTAATGCCATTGATCTTCTTTTAATATTTCAAGCTCTTGAAATTATTTTTCATGGCAAGTCTATTTTCTGTTATGACTGTGTATTACAGTGGTATGCTATGCATGGAATCATTTATATAAATAACCTTTTATTTGATAATCAGGATGTGGACATGCCTACTTTTTAGGATTTTCAAGAGATGTAACATTCCCATGGTGGTGATGGGGACGGTAATTTAGTTCGTTTTACTTTTTGATTCATGTTACAAACAGTACTATGTTTTATTGTGCTGAAACTAGCATGTATCTCTTGCAGTTTCCTACTGGCTTGAGCTTGGCTATTGAGAAAAAAAGCAGGCGGATTGAGATCTCTCTCTACTGCCTTGCCCGGGCTATTGAGAGCTTCTTTTCCTGCATGGCAGATAGTGGATATTTGCCAGAGTCACAGAGGTTTAAAAGAGCTGATGTGGTGATTTTCAGCTTATCAACAGCTATCATAATGCACTGCTATGCACAGGAGAGAGAAGTTTTTAGATCCAAGTATTTAAATGTTCTAGATTGGGTGTTCGGGGTGCCTCCTCCCCCTTGTGAAACCCCACGATGCAAAAATAGTTAGAGAAGCAAGTTCAGGAGCGATTATGTCGTGTTCTGACAAACCTCTCTTCTCCCAAATTGATTTCAGAGAAATCATCAAGATGCTTGTAATGTTGAGAGGCATATCTACTACATGTTGGCTGATTGATGATGCTTAGATATGGCAAAAATTTTGCTGGATAGAATTAGCCAAGTCTAGCTTTTTTGTAACTGGATTAGCTCAAATGAATATAGTCGAGTGTTAAGAATGTCTTGTGAGTTTTGAGTCCACAAGAAAACCCAACTATATTATCCCTGTTAACATGTAAACCTTATCATCACCGTTTCAACCAAAATGGAGCAAAATTCGCCAATGCGGTTATGTATGAAATTGAGATCATAAACGTTAAGACATTTATAATTGAATCATCTGATGCCACAAATTGAAAAACAAAAAGAAATGCAACACTAACACAAAGCGCAGTATCAAAACAAAGTAAAACTGACAGAAACATTAAAAGGAAAACCCTAATATTTCCTTTATCTTCTCAACAAAAGCACTGATTACATATTGTAAATAAAAACATCATCAACAACAATATAATCTATTCATCAAAACTCCAAACCAAAACACAAACCCTAACCATCGCCTCCACTGACAAAAACCCAATCAAAGTCAGACCTCATCTTCATGGAGCAACATATTAGGAATGCCCTTATTTACTGGAAACTTTCTCCCCGTCTCTGGGCAAACCAGAGCACCTTCTTCCAGTTGCAGCTCCAATAGCGCGTGGTGAAATTTCTTCAAGAACTCCTCTGACTCAAGCAACGACGACTCTGGCGCCTCGTCGGGCAGCTCGGAATAACCCAATGATCGGGATGCATCAGCGAGCGCCTTCCACTCGATCTTTGGGCACATGTTCTTGAGAAAATCAGGGTTGAAATCGACCTGCTTCTCTATGACTTTCTCCACTTCAATGCGGAGAGGGAAGCCGTTTGTCACTCCTTTGATATTGGATGACAGCATGTTGTGAGTTAATAGCCTCATCTTTTTCTCTCTCTGTGAAGACGACTCAGTGGTAAGCTGGTTTCAGAATTCAGAGCAGCGTCGTGGACCTCGTGGCGCTATGTTGCTTCTGCTAGTTTAGTTAGTCTCTAGAGGTTTAAGGGTGCTTAAAATGACAAAAATAGTCTGTTAGTGTGTGTTCTTGACATCTGACTTAAGTGGGCTGGGTCTCTGGACTCTGGGCAGACTAATAAGTAATATATTGGCGCACATGGGCAAGTCTGTCTAACCGACTAACCCTAATCGTAAATTGAATTTGGGATAATTAATAATCAATAATTATTTGTTTACAATTTATTTATACAAAAAAATTATATAAAATTTATGTAAAATAATTATTTCGTCCTTTGTTTTTTCAGACTATAGTATTGCTCTTAATAATATAAGTATAAAACTTAAGTTTTGAATTAATTAATGTGACATTATTTTAGATATTTTAGAGATAAGCATTAGTGTATATCAATCACGAATTAAATTTGATATTAGATTATACTGTATGTATTTTAAGTTTAAGGGTTAAAAGATATATACCTTCTACCTAGTATGATAAAATAACAAAAACCTTTTTAAAATTTCTAAAATAACAACAAATCTTATTGCTATTAATAAACTGTCAGTGAATCGTTAAAATTTATACTATTAAGAATTCATAAATATTACTTTGCCCTCTTATTATTTATTTTAACACCAAAAATTTAACAGTGGAGGGATTTTGGTTATTCTTGAAATCTCATAATAGTTTTTGTTATTTCATTATAGCTCAAGGAGACTAATAGCATTAACCCTAAGTGGGTTTAATGACAAGAAATTAAGAAATAGGGATCATGGGCATTCACTTCACCACTAAATGCATTCTCGCTCATGAATAAAAAAGGAAAAGAAAATCATCCTAAATTGGCTGTTGTTGGATGATACTGTTGTTGGACTTATATATCTATGATGTTGCTTGCAAATGGTCATAAAATCTTTGTTAAGAGTGCTACAATAACTCGTAAAAGTACCATATGAAATTTCGATGCTCAAACAGGATCCTCTAAATTTACTAATGCAACTGGAATCTTCCAAATCCATTCACTTTTCAGCTCTATGTGATCTTATTTTCAAGCAAAAGTACGCAACAAAACTCTCATATATATTTTTTTAACTTTCATTCAATTCGTTAATTAAATGATCTCATTTACATTTTGGGACGGGCTTAATTATGACAGTAGGATTTAAACATTAGATTCTTTCTGAGCTCCCGACATTGATTCGTAGGCCGAGTTTACAGCATAATCTACAGTACCATTAATGGAAAAGAAAAAGCAAAAGTGAGAGAAAGAAAGAGGAAAGGTTTTAACCCTAAGGGATTGACTTGCAGTCAAGGTGGTTCACTTTCTCTCTTAAGTTTTTAGATTCAAACCTTAAGACTACCTATTATAATATAATGTGATTTACATGGTCATTTGAACTTGTAAGGTGTTTAATATGTTAAGAAATATAGGTTATTTTGTTTTATTATTTATTAAGGGTAGATCTATCTTTTCAGTATTTCCCTTTTTAGCCTATATATATCTTTGTATTTAGGTTAAATCATACTTTTTTTTGTATTCAATTGCATTGTGCAGTCTCAATGAAACCATAGCCTCCTCTTTTTATTATTTCTTTGGATTGTTTAGCATGGTATTAGAGCCAGGTTTCATGGGACGAGGCTTAATCTTAAACACAGCTTATGCAGATCCAACTCCGCGGTGAGTTGGCTAGGGGTCTATAGGCAGTGGTGGACCCAGGATTTTTGCCCGGGGGGGCCTCCTCGGTCCGCCACTGTTTGCCAATCAAGTAGTGAAAACATAAGAAAATAATTCACAAGGAAACACAAGAAAATTTTTACGTAGAAAAACCTCTTCAATATGAAGGGATAAAAAAACCACGGGAATCTAACGACCCACTTAAATCCAATATAATCAAAAGAGTTTACAACAACTACAAATCAACCAAAAATATTCTATACAAATTTAGAGCTCAATTTCAACTCTAACAAAAGTAAGATAAACAAAGGTTTACAAAGAGATGGATTACAATCACTCCAAATCCAGATCCAGACGTTAACATTCTAACTCAACCGTCTATATTAAAGATCCACACATCCTCTGCATATTGACCCAAAAATCAAGTTAGAATGGTATACCTAAAGATCTAAATAATATGAATATTGATTATTTAAAGATGAAAGCAAGTTAGAATAGTGTTAGGGCCAAAAATTGTCTTTGGCCCAAATGGAAAAACGGGCCTGACAGTGAAGGAGAAGCCAAGCCCAATCCCGATGCGACCAAATCCGGATTAGGCTCATTTGATACAAGATACAGCCGGCCCAAACCACCTGGGCATGAGCCTCCTAATCCCAGTCCATTCTCTAGGTCCATGGACGAGTCCAGAGCCCACGACCCCCTCAGAATATTTTCCTATTCCTGAACAATCTTCTATTCGAGGTCACCTTCCTGTTCAGAACACTTTCCTACTCGAAGTTACTTTCCTAATCAGGATCACCTTCCTATCCGGACACTGGTAAGACAGCTTACCACGACCCTAATTCTTCTAGGGTTTACATCAGAGTCACACTAGGACTCCTACTCCCACTAGGATTGGGAAACCGGACAGTCACTATATAAACAGAGGCTAGCCCTCTCACAAGGGACACATTACATTACACCTGAAGCTCCTACTTGAGAGCTTCACATCACTGCTGTAATCATAGTCTCCGGCTAGACTTCCAGTAACCTCTCTACTCCCTAGCCCTCACTATACTAGCCTCTTTCAGCCTTGCTGACTTGAGCGTCGGAGTGCCTATGGCAAACATCACCCCAGTGTTTCCTGTTCGCTTCACGCGTTTGTTTCTCTACATGTGCAGGTGCAGCGGATCGCTAGTGGCCTCAACCTCACGGGATTAGACCCCCCTTCCAAACAGGTAGATTTTTACGTCTACAGTTTGGTGCCTACCGTGGGGCTTCTAGCAATCATTCGGCTTGACGAACCTTGCTATGTAGAGGAACTTTCCATGATTGACAACTCCGACAACGCTAATTCGGGCCTCGAGGCCAAACTGGAGGCTCTGACCGCTCTTATGCAACAGAACTCGGACAAGGTAGCTGCACTAGAAGCCGAGAACAATGCAATCTGGATCAAAAACGCATCCATTAGGGCAGAAAACCAGTCTCTTAAGGAGAAGGTGAGTCAATTCTATGATCTAGAATTCCTGTCTGGCCAAGCACCCCCCAATCGGTTCCGCGCCCTTTTTCCATCCATGCAACCTCTCCATACGCCAGAGCACCGATCCTTGGTCTCCGTCAAAAGGCCGCATTCGTTAAACTCATCGGTGGTCGATGATTCTGTCCTGACACATGGAGGTAAAGATACGCCAACAGAACACCATTTCGCCGACCCATCCCAGCCTTAAGATCAAGACAGTCTAGTGACAGAAAGTCTGAACCCGCAAGACCAACCCATTCTTACCGTCCTACCTTACCTCCAGTTAACCTTCCCAACACAAACCCCATTCGGCTTGGCTCACCCCCACGGGTTGAACGGCCAAACCCAACAAACCACAGCACTCGAGCCCATCCATCCTGACGAACCGAGTGACTACCAGACGACTCCACTGACCATTCATATAGGGCGAAACACCAGAACTGTTACCATGGGAGTCATCCAACCAGAAGGAATGAACGAAGATCCAGGCTACCAAGGTGTGCATGAAGCAATGAATCACCAAATCACATTGCGCAGGACGGTCCAACAAAATGTGCCGAAGACAATTGCAAAGGTCGACCCGGTCATGCGCGATGACCTAGTGGCGTCCCATTCTCCTATGGAATAGGTACTAGCCAAGAGATTGGCCGATGTGGAAGCAGTGATGAGACGCATCCCAGGAATGTCGGTCCCAACCAAGAAGAGCAGGCCTCACTGTTACGCGGATTCACCCTTTGTGGATGAGATCGCCCTAGCCGACATGCCTTAAAAGTTTACCATCCCCAACATGAAACTGTACGATGGCACAACCAACCCGAACGATCACATAGCCTTGTACAAGCAGCGGATGTTCACCGTCTCAATACCCCGACCGCTGAGGGAAGCCTGCATGTGCAAAAGTTTTGGTTCGAGCTTATCCGGCCCGACACTCCAATGGTACACGAATCTCTTGAACGGATCCATCGACTCATTCGCCCAACTCACCGACACCTTTGTGGAACAGTTCGCCAGCAGCAAGAAACTAGAGAAGCTGTCGGCCGACCTATACAGAGTATACCAGAAAAGGGGCGAGCCACTAAGAGAGTATGTCAGCAGGTTCAACAAAGAGAAGATCTCCATCCCTGCATGTAACCTTGAGACAGCCGTGGATGCCTTCAGGAAGGGTCTCCTCCCGGACAGAGAACTATACAAAGAGCTTACAAAGCTGGGTTGCACCACAATGGAAGATGCCCTTGCCCGAGCAGTGATCTAGATAAGATGGGAGGAGGATGAGATAAACCAGATGATTCACTCCAGATACGATTCAAGGCAGAATGACAGGAAGCCAGAGCACATGCCAGCGAAACACCGCTACCAACCCCCAGCACACAATTCGAGCAAAGTTAGGAAACCGTATGATCGCTAGTCGATGAGAACCGAGAGCAGACAGTTTGGATCGAACCAGTACAAAATATCGGAATACAGCTTTAATGTCGAACCAACCTAAGTCGTCGCGATTATGAAGGGAATGAGATCCATTATTAAGTGGCCAGGCAAACTCAATCTTGAGGCAAGGAGAGACAAGACCAAATGGTGTAAGTTCCACGGCGATCATGGGCGCAACACCGCAGATTGCATCGCCTTGCGGCTAGAGGTTGCTGCACTTCTAAAGAGGGGACATCTCCGGGATCTGCTAACCGATAAGGGGAAGAACACCATTCGCCATAAAAGTTCAAAAGAACCATCACCACCTTCGTGAGAACCTACACCAAAAGGATTCTGTTCGCTCATCTCCGGAGGATCAGAGATCAGTGGGGTAAGTTACTCATCAGCCAAGCAATATGCCAGAGACAACCACCACCATGAAGTCCAGTCCATCCATCCAGTCTCACGATCACACACCCATCAGGTAATTCAATTTGAAGATGACGAGCCGGTCACCT